ATTCCTCCCAGTATGCCATAAAAAGATTTGCATAACTCGGGGCAAATCTGGTCCCCATTGCATTTCCTTTTGTCTGTAAATAAAATTTATTTTCAAACCAAGTTATTCAAAAGGATCATTTTAATACCTTCTATTAAAAATTCTATTTGTTCCGTCTTCAAAAAAGCATCTTTTTAAAAAAATGTTCTGTAGCCTCACATCCCCTCTCATGATTAATAATGGTGTAGAGGCTACTCACATCACAGGTTACCATAATAAAATCTTTTTCCCATTTAAAATCGTTAAGAATTTGCAATAGAGACATTGTATCTTTTAAATATGAGGGACGTTTTTTCACTGAATCTTGTAAAAATTGGTCCCACCTGCACTGTGAATGTTTACATGGTGTGTTCAATAAAAACATGGCAACATTTCATTCTTTGTGTGTTATTAGTTTAAGCAGACTGTGATTGTCTATTGTTGTGACTTAGATGATGATCAGATCACATTTTATGACCAATTTGTGCAGAAATCCATATCATTCCAAAGAGTTCACATACTTTTTCTTGCAACTGTATGTCTCTTTTCAGCCTACGTAACATGATCTAGCTCAAGCAATCTCAACATCTGCACCAAAAGTAAGGGAGATATTTTCCTGTTGAATAAAAAGATAGGGTGGCCAGTTGGTGTTGGAGGACAGAATGTTTGTAGTGGATCCTCCTGTCTTCCTTATTCCTTGGTTGCCAGATATAGTGTTTCTTGAAAAATGTTCCATCTTCCATTGCAAGTTTACATAGTGTGTAATGTCCATCACACAGCACCTCTCGGTAGTATTGGTAGTCAGAATTCGGAAGAATAGTCTTCTTGCTTCAATAGTGAAATCCTTCCACTGCTTTGGTTCATGTGTGATGTTCTCATCTTGCCAGCAGGTAAAGTGTCAATAAAATCGGTCCCTGCATAAGCCCTTTTTCCATGGGGAACAATTAGTGAGCATTCTATAAATCAGAACCCCAAATGCCCACACATCAAGACTGGAGTGTAGTAATAGCTGTTTTGAAGGACACAAAGCTCCGGTGCCATGTAGGGAATAATCCATTACATTGCTGACACACATATTCCCTGGCGTTAGGTTAGCCAAAAGTCTGCAATTACACTCCACGTCCATGAGCAAAATATTATCCAGATTAATGTCACAATGGACCAGGCTCTTGCTGTGCATAAACTCTATACTATAGATTATTTAATGCTCATCCTCTTTTTTTTTTTTTTTTTTCTCTGTTGGTTCCTTTTTCACAATTGACCTGTGAACCAAATGACAGGAAAATGCTCCGATCAGTGCATTACAAAATATATACAAAATATTTATATCATGCTTATATTTGCAATACATTTTTGCCATCTTGGTTTTGTCTGATTTTTAGTCTGGTTTTCCAAATCATTTTTGTTACTGAAATACTGCCAGGCTGAAAGGGTCAATGCTGTAATGGACTCAACTCCCCTCGGTTCTCGATCCCTCGGTCACCATAATCAATGTTGATGGAGAATCATTGTCAGCAATAAGACACGGACAAAATGCTTTGACAAGACTCTCGAATGAGTATATTCCAGAACTGACTTTTATACACAGTTTCTTACATATATCGTACAAACAAACAAGATTTATAGTTTCCTGGTAGCTAATAGTACATACTAGTCTGACAATAGAAAGATAAGCATTTGAATAAAGTCTGGGCAAGAACATCCTGAAATCGGAATGGGCAATGTCGCACATCCTCTAGAAGGAAGAACGTTATTGTATAAGTCTGCCACAGTCGGCATAATTATTTTAAAGCATACAAAGCAAAAAGAGTTTAACTATTTCATATCCTTTCAGTCAGCAATAATGATTATAAACCTTATCTAAGCATAAAATACATATGAACAAGAAAAGTTAACTATTTAATTTTCTTACATTTCCCCTCTTTGAGCAAAAATTTGCTCATATTATCGATAAAATCTTACCAGGACAGAGAAACTTCCACATGGTATTTTCAGGGGTGCTAGTTGTAGCGAAGGGCAGTATTATAATCCACGATCTCCGCTGGTATGGCAGGTAAATCCACAGTCAGTGCTGAAAAGTAAGGCAATATCCCAATTCTCCCAATAACCGGACGAAACACAGTATGGGAGTCAACTGAGGTCTTTATTCACAAGCTGCTATATTTATACAGTTCCCCATGCAAGGGGTTTCCTTACAGACATTGCAGGGTATTTCTGCCATCAGTCATTGTGTTTCTCCCATCAGGCACCTCTGCACGAGAGGGATACTCCCACTAGAATATAAAGTTAAGTGGATTATCCCCTCGTGCAGCAAAAAACGACAATTTACTTTAAAATACATATTATGGACATTATTCGGTATATTGACATAACCGAATGTTCGGTAGATAGCTGGGGTCTGAGCGCACCTTTTGTGAGAATACCGCTCAGATCCCAGCTGAAATGACCGAACGCCGTATCAAATACCGTTTTACATTGAAGTTCCCCTCAATCTGCCGATTGAACTTAGGGGAACTATCTTACCGAAAACCGGGCTCCCGAACGGTCTGGAAGTACAGCGGTGTTCGTGTCGTCGAGTAGCCGTTTTTAGTTCCAGACGCTCGACGACAGAACACAGCTGAAGAAACAAAGGATCCAAGATGGCCGACCGCCGCGTGGAAGAGGAAAGTTGGCTTATCATTTAGTACTTATATTTTATTCTTCCATATTTTATTTATTATCTTATGTATATATTTTTGTACTAAAATAGATTTTTATTATTCCATCCTCTGGATCCTCTTCTACTTATTGGAGACCATACCAGCTACAGAAGGGTTAGGATCACCCCATAATAGATCCAGAAGTCATCCATACCAGAGCCAGGTTCCTTGGCTCTGATTTTGTGAGTGTTTCCTTGCACTTATTGCACTTTAATATATATTGTAAACTGTCTATACTATTTTGCATATTTCTCTATCTCTGCAGCAATATATTGGAGAAGAGGAAAGGACAAAATTGCTCCATCCATTGTGTTTGTATCGGTAGTCGAACGACGGCCACCTAGGAGAGCCTCTAATTACCGATTGCAACATTGTTGCAATCGGTTAACGAGCGCCACACGGCCCTTAATGTGTGGTCTATCAGGGGAGCCCGCATTCGCCTCACGAACAGCCCGGCTAGCCGCTGTTCGTGAAACGAAGTACTTGCATGCTAGTAGCTTACGGCTGCCAGCATGCGAATTACCATGGCCCCATAATACATAGTAAAATACATACAGCCTACAGCATAACATACAGACAACCTTTAGTACATGTATAGTCCAGAAGTAGCTAGGTTTGCCACACTAGTCACTCCCTTCGGAACTTTCATTAATTTCTTCACCTCAATTCCCATGTGGTAATTCCTAAGGCCCAGTTTAAAGATGGGTTGATACCCTCCAGTGGCAGAGAGGAGAATTTCCAATTGTTTCTGTTCTGCATTATGAATTAATTTCTGTATTCTCTTCCTCAATGTACAAGTAAGGTGGCAGTTATATAAAATCATACACAATAAAATCAGGACTATAATAACAAAAGGATAGAAGAATGATTTCATTATCTGGGATCCAGTAGGGGACCAACCAGTAAAACATTGTACCAATGACGGGCTAAATCATTCTGAATTTGTGAACTCACCTTAAGGAGTTCTCCTTTTAGGATATGTGTTGCTACCTGTGTGTGTTATCTTTGGGAAAAATATAGTCCCCTGTGTATGTGGGTGCCCACCAGGTTAAATTCATGGCAAAGAGATCATAAACTGGTACTGGTAATGTGTTAAATTGACAAGCTAATTTAACATCCTTTGATGATGTATGATATAGTGTAAAATAGCATGAGCATGAAACATTGTGAAACATTACCAGTTAACCATCCATTGCATTTAGTGGATTGGTGGTTTTAGAAGTAACCATTCATTATCTGTGAGGTTAAGCATTCCTCTAATCTTCTCTAGTTTAGGAATCATTAGTGTGTCTTCTAATGCCAGTCTTTGTTGTTGCATCCATAAATACCTGATGGCACAAGTACTCCAGTTACTTAGACCTGTAGTGAATTTCATAGTTGCAACAGTTAAATTACCTAAATAGTTATACATTGATTTATCTAAATCCAATCCTGTAACCTGTGATTTAACAACAGTTGGAGCCAAATTTGCAGTAGCATGGAAACCAGTCCCTATATGCATGCTGGCCGTGTTTAACTTATTCTTGAGGGTCTCCATATCTATAACTATTTAGTATACCCATAGTGGTTCCAGCACCTCCTAACAGTGTGTCATACCATTCCCTTTTCTGCCTTTTGTTTGCTGTGTTACATAATGTTACATCAGGAGTAGTGATTTTTAATGTCACATGTACAGCTTGTAAGAAGGCAGTTGTATTAACACATGTGGACGGAATAGGTGTGTGAGTGTGTCGTTCATAATGACTAAGATTTGTCCCCTTCTCCAATTAATGGTACCAGTTGTATAATCATTATTAAAAGTAATAAGGCCTGTCTGTTTACATTGATATGCAACCTTACAAATTTTTTTATAATATATATCCCAAATCTGTTTAGGTGGTTTTTTTTTTCTTACCATCAGAACTTATAATAAATAATGTGACACAGATATTAGTGTAATTAGCAACCTTAACTGTGCACATTTTTGCGTTATAAGATCTAACAATTTTCCGTGAACCTTCAAACAAACATAATGCATCAGTTTCATTAGCTGTGGACACATTTCATATGGGTAACTGGTACTTATAAGGGTTAACATTTGTCCAATTCATCCAAATGCTTTCAATGAATGAATGATTGCATATTACATGCTGATAGAAAGGTGGTGGAGAAAAGTTCTTGAGAGAGCGTGTGTGACGAATGCTAGATGAGAGGCTAAGGCCTAATTGGGCTGGGGGTATTGAAGAATTGTTCATCATGTCAGAGTCATTTCTCCAGAAACAAACAGGTTTCAAACTTCCCATTGACTTGTACTCATAATGGCATTCAAGGAACAATATCAGAGGGAGTATAACAACTCCAGAAAGCATAGCGCACAACATAATCTTGGTCTCAGGTACGTATGATCCTCTCAATCTACGATATGGTGTGAAAGCCATGATGCTTCGTTGAGGGGAACTTCTTCTGTTTCCGAGCGAGGAGTGGTGTTGTCTTCCTTGGCTCCCCTCTTTGGACACAGCTTCACTCGGGATGCGTGAATCCAGATGGCATGGGAATCTGTGAGGATACAGCAATCACAGTAGCAGGTGGTCCAATAGGGTATCCTCCTTTCTTGGTCCTGTTCAGCTGACGGATATACACCTTGTCACCGGGCTGGTATGAATGAGTAGGTTCCTGTGAAGGTAAGGGAAAACTGCGAAGAAACATTGCCATACATACCATTCGGTTTTATCAACAATTCCTGTACATATTGTTCTTGTATTAGCTGTAAATCCCCAGACATTATAACAAGCGGTTCCCTGGCCCAGGGTGTGGAAAAGGTCATCCCATCAAAATCTCAAATGGAGATAATTTAGTCACCTTGTGTGGATTCATTCTTATCTCAGCTAAAATAGCTGGTAGATATCTAGTCCAATTTACCCATGTTCCTGGGTTAATTCTGGGCTTTTCCTTAATAGTCCTATTCATCCTTTCAACTACCCCTGTACTCTGTGGATGATAAGGTATGTGAAACTTCCAGGTAACTTGCAAGAATTTAGCAAGTTCCTGGGCAACCCCACTGGCAAAAACCGGGCCATTATCAGAGCCAATCTACAGACGGCAGCCATACCAGGGAATAATTTCAGTAACAATAATCTTCACTACAATCCTAGCATCTTCCCTAGATGTCACAAAGGCCTCATGCCATCTACTAAACTGATCAACTATGACCAGTAAGTATTGCTCTTTCTTACCAATTTTGGATACATGAATAAAATCAATCTGTAAGTGTGTAAAAAGAGCAGTGTTCACACGATCTTACAAAAGACTGTGCATGCTGCCTGCGATTCCTAATATAAAATGAATTCATGAGTAATTGGATGGTGCTTGCTATGTGCCTGACTGATGAAAATAAAGCAGCTTGCTTCAAGTATGCCTATTCTTCAAGTATGCCTATTCTCCCCTCTTTAGAGAACAGATCATTCTGATCTTTCTCTAAACCTTGTTTAATCCAAAAATCAAAGTCAGATTGCATTGCAAAGGCTTGAAGCTGCAAAAGCAAACTGTCAGTAGGGCATGTGGGAGGTGTGAGCATAGGAGGAAACATTTCATAGTAAAAATTATGGCTGCAACTTCCTTTTGCCACTTTGTCAGCCAAGGCATTTCCTCTGGAAATGTCATCACTAATTACGAGGCTTAGATGGTATAGACACAGAGTCAGATGCAGAAATGAGAATAGCATGCAAAACAAACAGAACCAGAATTAACAGGACTATAGACAATAGACAGATTCTGGGTATTAAGAAGAAGAATCTCATAACCACTTAAACGCTGGGCTGTCATGTGTTGTGTGATGAGATTTTTATAAGCTGAGTGACCCAGTGACTGGTATGTAGTATTGTAGGTTGCCCTAGTGTGATAGTAGTAGCAGTCTCAACAGCCATTGCACATGCTGTCAATGCTCTGAGACACGCCGTCATACCCTGTACCGGAGCTGGAACTACTTTGGAAAAGAATGCTATGGGATTCATACCGCCTCCTTGCTCTTGTGCACAGGCCGCAGCCATGGTTTTACAATTTTCCCGAGCATACAAATGAAATGGTTTACAATACACAGGTAGTCCTAAAGCACAATAACAACTTTAAGGGCAATATACGCAGCTAGCATGTCTGGTGACCAGCAGACATTTTCAGGGCTGTCAGAACGTACAGCCTCCCTTAGGATTGAGTCATAATGGGAGCATTCAGGGATCCACTGGCGGCAGTAATTAATCATGCCGAGGAAGGTGAGCAACTCCTTCCGAGTAGTGAGTGTAGGAATACTCTGAATGACCTCAATATGTTTTGAACTCAATTGTCTGGTGCCTGAAGCCAGAACAAAAGTAATCAACCTTTGATTTACACAATTGCATTTTGTGTTTAACAACCTTGTGACCCACAGTTGCTGACAGTATCCACAGTGCTTGCCTCATAGCTAGGGCTACATAACAACAAATCATCAACATTTTGCAAAAGGACGGAACCATGACCGGGGGTCCATATTTTTTAGAGTATGTTGGAGTACCAACGAATAAACAGCTGGGGAATCCACATAGCCTTGGGTAAGCGTGTCCAGGTATACTGACAGCCTTCCAAAAATAAAAACCATAATAAGTAGCTATGTCTCTTGATCAATAGGTATAGACAAAAAAAAAGAAATGCATTACTTAAATCAATGACAGTGAAGCAAGTGGCATCATGTGGAATGGCTGTAATGAGGGATGTCACATCAGGGACAATGGGTGTAATGGGCACAATTAAACTATTCAGGGCTCTAAAGTCCTGAACTAAGCGATATGCTGGCCAGTGGTGTTGGGAGTGGGTCTGGTGTTGTTCTTATCTACCGGGCGTATTTTGAGAATTGTGGGGTTGTTGGGGTGTGTGGGGTTTCCTGGGGTGTGGACACTCATTCCTCCAGTGGCCATGCTGGCCAAAGTGGAAACAAGTGTTCCTGTCTATTCCTCCTTGGTTATCCCTGCCCCTATAACCCTGATTTCTCTGTCTCCATCCCCTTGCCCCTCTTTGACCACCCCTTCCACAGGCTCTATGTGCTCCATCCCATCCTCTCTCTCGGGTCTGTGTAGGTGGACAGTGTTGCAATCCCTGAGCATAATAAGCAACCTTACTTCCTGAATCTTTTCTTAAGTCAAAACAACCTGCATTTTCCTTTTCTATAACCTTGGTAAGAAAATCTTAGCCACCCAAATTGGCCCGGTCTGAAATCAATTATTTCACAAGCAAAGAATACTGTGGCAACATATTACCAAGGCATGACTGTATTTTAAGGAGATCCATATCATCTCCAGACATCAAACCTGCCTCATCCTTCCAACATTTGTAAAATCTTTTTACAAAAACACCAATCTCTTCCTTTTGCACCTTACTTACATGCCAAAGCAGTGGATATAGACTGCTTATTCTTCCATAATCCCAACATTTAAGCACATCTTACTGAAGTACTAAGCTCATAAACAACAATTAATTTCAAACCATATAACTCATACTCAGCATCCAATGTAATATTACACGTTATCTCACAAAACAGTATCTTTGTAGAAACACATAATGGGTACCCAGCAGATATGCCAATACAGAAATCATATTTATGGGCACGCATCTACACACTCTGTCTCCCTCCTAGGAAAAACGGATAGACACAATATAAAAGCAATCTTAAACTAACACCTCCAAATCTCCATTCCCATATAGCTATATAAGACCACAACACAGAGCCTCTCTGAGCTGATAGAACTACTCCAACTCCAACTACTCTTGGCCATAACGCTAGTATTCAACAGCTAATAAAACAGTTATTTGCTAGGTTATTTGGCTGTCATTCTTATCAGTATCACTAGACTGTGACAAACTGATTCACATATAATTTAAAACAATACAGCAACATATAAATTAAACCACTTTCCAGTTAAGATGCACACTTATCACACATTATCACAATCACTATTATCACAGAATAAACAGTTAACAGCTGTAATCAGAACATATTATTGTATGGTATACCAATTTTAGTTTAGATTTATTTTAGGGATTCTTATGTATAAATTTTCTTAATTAACTTCATTACTTTAATCTACTATAGTATTGTATATAAAGAAAGGATCCATTTATATAGCGCGCTCATAACTCAACTATTTGTATACAACTTCCATTAACTAATCTGAGATGATGCTGAATCCACTTAAATCTTATAGAAATTGAATTAACATCTGGACCAGATTACACAGACATGGTTTCACCAGAATCATTCAGAACTCTCAGAGACTTAAAAAAAAAATTATACTATACCATGTTTAAAGGCATGGCAAACCTTAGACCGGTCAGTCTCCAAGAGCCTTAGTACAACAGGTAGAAACCTTTGTCCATGATTTCTGATCCAGGCTATATACCACCATTTAAAAGAACACATAATGTGAGACATAGAAGACACAAGCAGTAGTTATTGTACTGGATCATCTGTAGCAATAAAAAGGTTAGCTTACAGCACAAAATGAAGCATGTGTTGGACCGCTGAAAATGTAAATGTTGCTCTGTTATTTTCAAACAAAAATCATATTTAGTATGGATCCTTTGCAACAAACACACAGGGCAGGGAAAATGTGCTTAATTCCCATATGGGGAATTAACTTTCAAATACTAATGAAGTGCCTCTTTTTTTTTGTCTAAGTATATAATATACTGAGCTCATTATTTAAACAATTTAACACATTTACACTTATCCCACTCTCATAGAAAGTGTAGTGGGATTATGGTATTTTTAAAGCAACAATCATACCAGGCACACAGATCCCATGTGAAATAACTTACAATAAAACAGAGTGATAAACTTATACTTCTATGCGACAGAAAGAATAAAGTAAAAAGATTTAAGTAGGTCTATCAGGTACAACCTGTGAGTCATTTCTTTTCTAATATACAGTACTGCTATCTTGCAGAAAGATAAGTCCTGCGCTCACTCCCATCACTACTGGGCAGCAGCAAGGACTACAAAACACATCAGCCCCAATATATAGTAAAAACCAAAGAAAAACAAGTTACCTGCGTTCTCTCCTTAATCCCTATGTATTTTTAAAACCTCCATTTGTTTAAAAGTACTGCTATCTTATATATACATATACACATACACACACACATATATACAAACATATATATTTACATACACACACATATACATGTACACATATTGGTCACTCAGGACCTGAACTCACATTTCCCATACTGCTGACTCGGAGTGGGGACACTACTAACTTACCAAAGTGTGTCCCCAATATAGACAAACAATCACCCACAAAGAACACTTAAGACAAACAAAGGTGACCGGGAGAAAGAGAAGTTTGGGTTATACTTATAGATCTATAAACCGTGCTCCTCAGAACACCTATAGTCTTAATAAACCGGAGACCTCTTCTGGTCTCAAAACCTGTATCTACCTGAGATACCTTGTATCTATTTTAGATACTAACCTGGGTTACCAAAACCCTATATATTTAGACCAAATGTCTAATAAACCGGAGACCTCTTATAGTCTCAATATAAACCGGAGACCACTCATGGTCTCAATATAACTAGAGTCCTTACACCTTTCCTATCTTACTGGATACAGACTTACTGAGCCAAAGGGGGGTCATAGACAATCAGCGTCAATAAGACACAAATCGGCTACTCACTGCAATGGTTTTGCTGATCCATCCCACTTCTAGACACCAAGCTGAAAGGGTTAATGCTGTAATGGACTCAACTCCCCTCGGTTCTCGATCCCTCGGTCACCATAATCAAGTTGATGGAGAATCATTGTCAGCAATAAGACACGGACAAAATGCGTTGACAAGACTCTCGAATGAGTGTATTCCAGAGCTAGCTTTTATAACATAAGCCATACAAACAAGCAAGATGTATTGCTTCCTTTTAGTACATAAAGATAAGCCTTTGAATAAGTCTGGGGAAGAATATCCTGAAATCGGAATGGGCAAGACATCCTGAGATTTAGCAACGTCGCACATCCTATAGAAAGAATACCTTAAATTGTATAAGTCTGCCACAGTCAGCAAAATTAACACATCCTATAGAAGGAAGACCCTATTGTTGAAGTCTTGCCACAGTTAACATAAAAGAGTTTAACTGTTTCATATCTTTTCAGTCAGCAATAATGTTTATAAACCTTATAAAAGCATAAAATACATATGAACAAGAAAAGTTAACTATTTCATTTTCTTACAATATATATATATGCTAGTTTGTTGTAGCTAGTTAATGCTATATTTATGCTAGTTTATTATAGCTAGTTAATGCTATATTTACGCTAGTTTATTAAAGCTAGTTTACTGTAGCTAATTAACGCTATATTTACGCTAGCTTATTGTAGCTAGTTAATGCTATATTAATGCTCGTTCATTATAGCTAGTAA